CAGGTGGTGTTCTGTTGAAAATGCCAGTCAGCTGATGGCAGGGAGTGAGGAAGTAAATGGTGTGGTGGGCGGGTATGCCGCCTCCCCTGGAGGGTGAGGCCCCAGAAGCTGCACCACCTTGCTCCTCATGCTTGCCAGGTGACTTCCTCCTTTACCCCAGGGTTCTGCTGCTGCTTCCATCAGCATCTCTAGGTGCAAATATTGTAGGTTTTCAGCACGTCTGAATCACTTTCTTCCATTTTCCTATATCCAGCATTCTAGAAGGAAACCCCTGTACCTGAAGCCTGTCTGTACTGTTTGGAGTGCTTACTCAGGATTTGGCTGTGCCGTTCCTTTGGTTGTGTGGGGCCAGGAAAAGCAGGGTCAACACCTTCGTAATCCCTGCGGGACTCTGCAGGTTGAAAAGCCACACCGCAGACCTGCCCTTTGTAGACAATACAGGTTCTTCTAGCCTCTTTATAAAAGATATTGGTTTGTCTTGTTCTTTAGTTCCTGGCTTCATCTGGGTCTCACAACTGTTTAATCACTTGGGAGCTTGGCTTCTTCCTCTAAGGGGTAATTTATTTTGCTGCCACTTTTTAATCTCTTATTGCCTTATTTTTCATAGCCTCCCTGGGAAAGTCACCAGGCACCAAGCACCTTTTATTTCAGCATTAGTGGGCAGCAGTTTATCTTTTATTTCAGCATTGGTGGGCAGCAGTTTATCTTTGAGGTCCTGAAATTGTAAAATATCTCACAGTGTCTCACTCCGTTGTCTGTGCTTAGTCTGTGTTTACTTGTTTGTTTCTCATTGTCGCTGCACAATCTTCTCATCGTGTGTAGCGTTTGTTTTCCCTGACTTCTCAAAAAGCTGTAAACACTTAACATCCTGTTCACATGCAGGCAATATTTCTATAAAATTCCTATAATACTCAGAGTGCGAATTGCGTCCATTCAAATGAAGATGTATATATTTGTAATTGCCAATTAAAAACACTTTTCAGTAGAATGAAAAAAACCCGGCAATTTTTCTAAATACGGCACAACATTTCCTTTGTTTTAAAACAGTCTGGGAGGTTGGTGGGAACGAAAGCCTCACTGGAAAAGGAGGCGGTTGTGTTGTGTCAGTCCACCTGGCAGCTGGTTGGAGTGTGGACCAAGGGCTCAGTAGCCTTCCCTCCTCAGACCTGGCCATCACCAGCTGCCTGGGAATTGATGCGGAAATTGAGAGCCAGCCTTGAGAAAGTTTGATGGAGTGATTTTGTGTCTGCTGAGTCCCAATAAATTTGCTTGTATTTTGTCTTTTTAAATTGCCTTTTGTCCCTTTGTTCTATTTTCTTATGTAATTAAAAAAAAAAAAGTCATTTGTAACAGATGGAAAATTTAAAGGGGGAAAAACAACCAAGCAGAAACTGCTCCTCATCTGTGACAGATGAGGCTCTCTGATTGTCTGAAAATCCCCCTCACCCTAACCGCCCCCCACTTCATTGTCCCATGTGAAGGTCCTGCCTCTGGACTTCTGGTCTGTCATGTCTTCTATACAGGTAGGCAGTTGGTTGCAAAAAAGCTCTTTGTTCCCCATCACATAGAGATAGTGGCATTGCCTGATCCCACCCTCCCCCTTATTTTTTTTAAAACAACACTAGGGCATTTTTGTTAAACTTGATTCACTCCCTCCTGTTACCTTGTTAATATGACTGTTTCGTATCAGTTATTCCTGGGTTCTAAAGTGCTTTTTGGGCCAGGCGTCATGGCTCATGCATGTAATCCCAGCACTTCGGGAGGCCAAGGCAGGAGATAGGCTTGAGACCGGGAGTTCAAAACCAGCCCGGGCACCATGTGGGGAGACCCTGTCTCTATAAAAAAAAAAACCGAGCAACAACAAGCCAAAAACAGCTGAGTGCAGTGGCACGTACCTGTAGTCCCAGCATTTTGCAAGGCTGAGGTGGGAAGATCTCTTGAGCCCAGAAGTTTTAAGGCTATAGTGAGCTATGATAGCGTCACTGCACTCCAGCCTGGGTGACAGAGTGAGACCCTGTTTCAATAAAAAGTTTAAAAAACAACAAAAAAAGTGCTCTGTAATGACTTTTTTTGTAGATTTTTTTTTTTTTAAGGACTCTAGATTACCCAGTAAGTAGTTGGGAGTCACACTTTGTCCTTTTTGATGGATTGTCAGTTTGTATTAGGAATATTATTAGACAGTAGTGTTTTTGATGGTCATGGGGAGGCAAGAGTAAACACTGCTTAGGACATACAAGGGAATTTAAGGTTAAAATGAGATTAGAAATTCTTCATAATATTGTGGTACTTTATATTTGGGGGGTGTGGAGGATTTATGAGGTTAAATTTAAAGGTATTAGTTTTGACGAAGTGGGCAGTCGTGTGTGTGTGTGTGTGTGTGTGTGTGTGTATTTTGCTGTAGAATTTGTTAAATATTATAATTTTTTTTTTTTTTTTTAATTGTACGGCATTTTGACCATCAGCAGTTTAGGATGCATGCTACTATTCTATATAACCCACTCCCAACAATGTCTCTCAAGGGATACATCTGCCCTCTATTTACTTATTTAAGTTTTTTTATTCGTTATTATGTTTTGAGAAAGAGTTTCGGCCTCTTGTCGCAGAGCTTGGAGTTGGTGCAGTAACTCGATCTCGACTCATTGGAATTTCGTCCTCCGAGTTCATGTATTCTTCATGCCTCAGCCTCCCAGGGATGTGCATACAGTTGTCCACCACACCCACAGGCTAATTTTTTCGATTTTCTTGTAGAGACGGGGCGCGTTTTTTTTTTTTTCTTTTTTTTTTCTTGTGTTTTTTTTTTTTTTTTTCTTTTTTTTTTGTTTTTCTTTTTTGTTTTTTTTTTTTTTTTTTTTTTTTTTTTTTTTTTTTTTTTTTTTTTTTTTTTTTTTTTTTTTTTTTTTTTTTTTTTTTTTTTTTTTTTTTTTTTTTTTTTTATTTTTTTTTTTTTTTTTTTTTTTTTTTTTTTTTTTTTTTTTTTTTTTTTTTTTTTTTTTTTTTTTTTTTTCTTTTTTTTTTTTTTTTTTTTTTTTTTTTTTTTTTTTTTTTTTTTTTTTTTTTTTTTTTTTTTTTTTTTTTTTTTTTTTTTTGACAGGGTTTTTTTTTCACCATGTTTGGCACCGCTGGTCTGGAACTCACTGGACCTCAGATGATCCAACCCACGGTCGCCTCCCAAAGTGCTGCGGATTACAGGGGGTGAACCCTGCCCCGGCCACTGAGTTTTATTAGTTAATTGTTTTGAGTGGGGTTGCATTAATCTCCACGTAGTGTTTGGACTTCTGATCGGTTATTTTGATCCCTGTACTGTGTTCTTCATTCTTTTGTTTTTCCCTGCCCTCAAAATAATTTTTTTCAAGTCTCTATGAGCAGGTCTAGATGAACAGTTTAAAGTAGGACCCAAGTTCTCTTCCTTGCGCAGTGCTTATATTCCATGAGTGGAGACCTTTACAATTAGAGGAAAGTGACTATTAGCGCAATTGATGATAAATTTAGTTGGTATCATAAAGCAAAAAATACGTTATTGTATTTATTGATGGAGAGACAAGGAAATTTCTTATTGGCTATTGTGTTAAAAAAGAACAAACCGGGCTGGGGTGTGGTGGCTCGCGTGTGTAAATCCCAGCACTTGTGGAAGGTCCAATGATGGGTGGATCACCTGAGTCAGGAGTTCAAGAGCAGCCTGGCCAACATGGTGAAACCCACTCTACAAAAAAATAGCAAAATAGTGGGTGTAGTGGCGCATGCCTGTAATTCCAGCTACTCAGGAGCTGAGGGAGGAGAACCACTCTGAACTTGGGGAGGTGGAGTTGCAGTGAGCTAAGGTGCCAACCAGAGAAGACTCCATCACAAACAAACCAAATTCAGTCCAGGATCCTTAGGATTCAATTTTGGATAGAAAGGAATTGCTACCTAAGATTTCGGTGAAAGGAATTGAAATGTACTCTGTAGATACCAAATGGTAAGTTAAGGGAGTTAGCATAGGATTGTAATGGAAAGAAGCCTGAAGGGTAGAGAAGGCGCTGTTTTTTGTTTCATCTCTACCTAAATAGTTGCAATTTGGCTGAGTGTGGTGGCTCACACCTGCAATCCAGCACTTTGGGAGGCCGAGGCGCGCAATCACAAGGTCAGAGAGTTCGAGAGCAGCCTGGCCAACATGATGAAACCCCCATCTCTACTAAAAATACAAAAAATTAGCTGGGTTGGTGGTGGGGCGCCTGTAATCCCAGCTACTTGGGAGACTGAGGCAGGGTATAGCTTGAACCTGGGAGGTGGAGGTTGCAGTGCGCCAAGATTGCACCACTTGCACTCCAGGCCTGGGCGACAGTGCGAGACCCTGCCTCAAAAAAAAAAAAAAAAAAAAAAAAGTTGTAATTTGACCTTGTTGGCAGAGGTAACCCAGAATTTCTGGGATTGGAGGGGGCATAGATAGAGACGTACTGTTTTCTGCAGTACCAACTTGAATTGTTGTAGTGAACTTTTCATGGCTGAATTTAGAAGTGGCGACAGGGACACTGATGGCTAAATAGGCAAAGGTGACCTGGATGTGACGACACAGAAGAGAGGTGGGGATGGATTCGTGACCCCTTTAGGTGAAACTATAGGATGCTGTATAAACGCAGCAGGATGATACAGGGTTTCCTGCTTAATGTCAGTTGAAATAAATGAATACCATTAAGCTGATGATGTCAGATACCGTGTGTAGTTTTTAAATGCTCAGGGAAACGGTGTGTACATAGGCATGTACTTCTACACACATGTATACACATGTCCATGACACACGTTGTATATCAGTGTACGAAACACAGTCGTTTAACCAAATTTATTGCGCTTGAAAGGAGTCCCGTGGTTTGTGAGAGTGTGAGAGATATAGAACCTTAATTAGAAAGAGTTTGCTTGAAATAGGATCTTTTTTCTCCTTATGTATCATGATTTTATTGCTGCACGTAGGCCTATATCCTCCAGTCTCTGCTTAATTTATTTTTAATTTTCTTTTGCTTTTACAGGCCCAGGCTGCAAGCACAAAGGAAGTTTGCTCAATCTCAGCCGAATAGTCCCAGCACAACTCCAGTAAAGATAGTGGAGCCATTGCTACCCCCTCCAGCTACTCAGATATCAGACCTCTCTAAAAGGAAGCCTAAGACAGAAGATTTTCTTACCTTTCTCTGCCTTCGAGGTAAGACTTTGCAATGATCAGACGAGGTCTACATGGAATCTACATGTAAGCCTGAGGTCTACGTGGAATAGACTTTAGCTCTACTCTCTGCCATGTTCATTTTTCTGTCCCCCAACCTGGGTTGAGGGGGAATTGAAAGTGAGAAATCCCTTTGAGAGTGCTGGGTGTGGCCTTTTAACCATCTGTTAAGTTTTATTTCCTTTTTAGTATGACTCTTACACCCCACTTCCTGGCTTCTCGATACGCAATTATGCAGTTTCTAACTTTGACTTCTAATTTGATTTCTCTCCACCACACCACCGCCTTGCACACATTGTTTTGTAAGGCAATTTTTTTTTGATGGAGTACTTTGGGGATATGAAGGCCCCTTTCTATGTGCTTCCGAAGGCCTGTCAATAAGCCGTGGTGATGAGGGGCTTATGGTTCTCTCAGCCCTGTATTATGTTAAGAAAAACAATACTAGTACTTTCAGAGTCTAATTGACTGTGCAAATACTGGTCCACGTTTCAACTTGAACCAGTTAACAGAGTCCAGGTGGATTTGGAATCTGAATGGAGTTATTTGTGAAAGCGTTTGTTGCCGTTTCCTTGTTACTAAGTTTTCTAATAGCTGTGACGAAAGAACACAGAAGATTGTCTGAGAGAATAAGGAGCCTTTTCTGGAGGAATGATAGAAAATATAGGAAGTCCTGAACGCAGAGAGTTCCTTGGGTGTGGTTATTTGAGAGAAAATGAACAGAAGGAGAGGGCCTTTGCTATTGGACATCTGTGGGAAGGCCTCAAGGTTCAGGGTCACTTTTATTTGATTAATATTTTGATAATTTATTATTACAGACAGATTTTAAGTACCTTAAAAAGTTGCCACCCATCATCCCTCACTCAATACATTAGTGTGTCTTTCCTTCAGGTAAGTACATTTTCCTATAACTGTCAAAGTTAGAAAGTTCACAGTGATACATGGCCCCCATGAGTTCCTCAAACCTCTGTTTCACATTTGTTCTGAAGGTGCTTTGTAATGTCTGAGTTTAGAGCAAAACGACCTAGTTCAGAATTAGGCGATGCCATTAATTGTGTGTAGTCTGCTTAATCTGGAAGAGTTCGTCATTGTTTTGTCTTTGACCTCAACACTTGAAAATTACAGGTCAATTATTTTTTAGAGTGTCCCTTGATTTGGTTGCCTGGTGTTTCCTCATGATGACATTCTGGTTTGTGTTTTTGGCAGGAATGCCACAAGGGAAGTGATTCCTCCTCCTCGTTGTTGGGTCCTCTGTAGGGATACACAGTTCAGTCCTTCCCTTTCCACACTGTGTTCACGCTGATCATTTGACTGTGGTGGGCCTGTCAGGGGCAAAGTTACCCACCCATCTCAGCCTTTGCAATGTATAAGTGTTAAGAGAGGATATTCTTTGAAACTAGTACATACTTCTCATCATCTTTATCATAATTGTATATGTATGGGCTTCCTATTTTATGCAAAGGGTTATGATCTGTTACTCCTATTATGTATTCTGATGTTCAGGTTGTCCCAGATCACCGTCTCATCCATGGACCCTCGTCAGGCTGGCTTTTTATTCCTTTTGACGTGTCCCTGTCATCCTTCCAGCCTTGCTCCTGGCACAACAAAATGTTCCAGGCTCATGATGTACTTTCCCGCCCTCAGCCCTGGAAATGGACATGTCTCCAAGGAGCCCTGCTTTCTTGTAGGGACAAGTACTGTTCAGGAGCCAAGATCTGGGCACAAGGGATGCTGGGAACTATGGGAATGTCATTTCTCCCAGGTGCTCTTAGTAGACTGAGGTTGTGTGTTTACAGGGGTCTATCCGCAGTTCTGTGTTTATTAAAATCTGTGAGTTAGCAGCCATACTTCCAGTTTCAGTTTAACACCAAGGGGTTCATGTGCATTCATCCCCGAGGACCTTGGCTCCTGTAATCCTTAATATACTTATTTGCTGTGTCTTTTCAGTGTAACCCACCTCCCATCTCTGCTGCCCCCACGATGGGAAACTCAGCCCTGACACCCCATGTGGTTGCTCCTCACTCCCTCCCTTTGCCCAGTTGCCCTGCCTTACCAATTGGCTTTGGGACTGAATTGTTTGGGGGAATTTTTGACGTAGGATATGATGATAGTTGCTGGTGATTCTTAATACATAAGAAAGGAGAGTTATTATGTACTTGTTAGAAATTTTGTAGCCCTTGTCGGTCATTGAGCCTTGAAAACAGGGAGATGAGGTAGGTGGGATTCCCACCAGTTGATCTCCATTAACTTTTTGGTTTGTTTTTGGAGACACAGGCTCTTGTCTCATATCAAAATAAGATGATGAGGGGTTGTTCATTTCTGGAGTTCAGTGGCACAGTCATGGCTCTAAGCAGCCTCAACCGTCTGGGCTCAAGCCATCCTTCTGCCTCAACCTCTCTAATAGCTAGACCTACAGGCGCATGCAACCACAATGAGCAATTTTTTTATTTTTACTTTTAGTTGTTTTTTTTTTTGGTAGAGAAGGGGTCTTGCTGTGTTTCCCAGGCTGGTCTTGAAGTCCTGGGCTCATGCAATTCTCCTGCCATCTCAGCCTCCCAAAGTGCTGGGATGACAGGCATGAGCCACCATGCCCAGACATCTCTGTTACTTTTTACATAGATTTTGGCTGAAAGATTCTCCTGATCCTGGATGTTGAGTATGAAGATGGAAGGGAAGCTGTGAGGACTACATGTGACAGACTCTTGTGCTGGACTGGCCACTAGGCTGTGAGACTGGTAGAGTGTGGTGTGACGATCAGGAGTGGAGAATGAGTGGGCTGTGTACTCAGAAGGATGTATTTGCCCTAAAGGAGTCTTTGAAGGCTCCACAGCGCCATCAGCAGCAAGGTGATTCAGGTGGATCTAGCCGGGCTTGGTTGTGCCACCTGTAGCCCATCTACGTGGAGGCTGACACGGGAGAATCCTTGACACCTGGAGTTTGAGGCTGCCGTGAGACATGACTGTGCTTCAGCACTGCCGCCTCAGCAATAAAGCGGCACTCTGTCTCAAAAAAAGAAAAAAAAGAAAAAAAAAACGGTGATATGGGACTCTTTGTTTGTGACTTTGGTCTTGCATGGCTTCAAAAATTTTTTTTTAAATGACATAATTGTACATATTTGTGGGTCACATGATTTTGTGATACATATAAGTGATCAGATCAGGGTAATCAGCGTATCCCTCATCTCAGACATTCATAATTTGTTGGTGTTGGGAACATTCCACATCCTCCTTCTAGATATTGCTAACTGTAGACATCCTACAGTGGTATAGAACACTAGAACTTACTCCTTCTATCTAACCATAATTTGGTATCCTTTACTAAATATACATGGCTTTTAAACATAATAGGCTTTTAAACACAATTGCCAGGTGTGTTTTTTGAGACAGAGTCTTACTCTGTCGCCCAGGCTGGAGTGCAGTAGCGCGATCTTGGCTCACAGCAACCTCCGCCTCCTAAGTTCAAGTGATTCTCCTGCCTCAGCCTCCCAAGTAGCTGGGATTACAGGTGCCCGCCACTATGCCCGGCTAATTTTGTATTTTTAGTAGAGACGGGATTTCACTGTGTTAGTCAGGCTGGTCCCGAACTCCAGACCTCAGGCGATCCGACCGCCTTGGCCTTCCAAAGTGCTGGGATTACAGGCGTGAGCCGCCGCGCCTGGCCAAAGCCAGGTTTTTTAAAGAGTAACTATGACTTAACTAGTTTGGCTACTTTTGAGAAAGGAAGTTTGATGTCTAGAATTGCTCTTGGCATTTTGCTTAGTAAATCGTGAATTAATAGTTTCTGCCTCCACCAATCCACCAATCCCGTTTCATTAGGATGTCTAAAGATTGCTCTGTTGATTATGGAATTTAGTTATGCAAGTCTTTACTATGGAACAATTGTGACTGTTGTATTTAGTTCCCAAAGGTAGAGAAGGAGAGAAACCCCTCAGGGAATGTCTCAGTGATTCTGTATAGAGAGGAGTATGTGTATTTGTGCTACGTGTACTTGTGTGTGCACTATCTTATAACATGTTTTCTGAGGTTCTGGGAAACTCAGAGAGTCTCTTAGTTGCAGAGGCATGCTTATTTATTGTTCACATAAATGCCATCTAGAGAAAACGTCACCAAGTAAGTACCTGGCTTTGAAGTTTCAGGATTCCAGACAGAAGAGAATCATCTTTTCATAGATAAAATTTACTTCTTTTAGATGTCAAATACAAAAAAGGTTTAAATAATTAAAGCCTAGGAGATGTTTAAAACCAATTTTAAAAAATGCTCTGAACCTTGGAAATGAAATTCATGTATGAGCTAAGCAATAAAAATAGGCTTTGTTGTTTGTTTTTCTGTTGGTATACATACAATATTGTACTGTTTTGCTATTTCTCATACTTTTTTTTAGATCTGAGGTATTAAAAATGAGTCATCTTAGCTTTAAAATGCCTTTTTTTCCCCCAAGAGGATAAGTGTGTTTACCTGATCTGACTCTACAAGCTCCAAATGACAGATGATGCTTATTATAGCTTCATGACCCTGAAAATCTGATGGATTTGGTGGCCTTAGATAGCATCTTTTAATAGGTAGTTTCTTGAGCTAATTAAAACCTGTATTTCAGTGTGTACAAAGGTTACATAGTGATCCCTGTTGTTGTGGTACTTTAATACTTCTATTTCCATTTTAATTTAAGAAAAACAGGATGTTAAGTTTTTTTGTTTTGTTTTGTTTTTTTTAACAATCATAAAAGTAGTTCCTGTTCATCTTGGGAATATTGGCAGAAGAAAGGTAAAGAAGTAGGCAAAAGAATACATTCAAAATAGCATCTCCACCATCTCCCAGAGATGACTGCTGTTAATTACCTTGTTTGTGAGTATCTTACTGAGCATTCGGTGTGCGTATATAATACATATTTTTCCTGAAATGATACTGCAATATACTTTCGTTTTTTGCAGTCTGGATTTCCTACTTAACACTGTCACAAAAATGCCTGTCATTTCATTTTAATAGCTT